CCAAAACTGGGCATTTCACAGCCCAAAGCTGCATTTCATAGCCCAAAGCTGCATCTCACAGCCCAGAGCTGCATCTCACAGTCCAAAGTTGCATCTCACAGTCCAAAGTTGCATCTCACAGCCCAGAGTGCATCTCACAGCCCAAAGCTGCATTCCATAGCCCAAAACTGCATCTCACAGCCCAAAGCTGCATTCCATAGCCCAGAGTGCATCTCACAGCCCAGAGCTGCATTTCATAGCCCAGAGTGCATCTCACAGCCCAGAGCTGGGCAGGATTCCCTAGGATGGGCCATGGCTTGGAGAAATGCAGGGATGAGAACAAATCCCATCCCTTCATGCCAAGGCGGGTGTGATCCTGGTCCCTCTGAGCTGAGGGATGAAGGACAACTGTGGGGTGACAGGAAATTAAATCATGGAATGGTTTAGGTTGGAAGGGACCACAAAAATCATCCAGGCCATGGCAGAGACACCTTCCCCTGTCCCAGACTGCTCCAAGCCTTGTCCAACCTGGCCTTGGACACCTCCAGGGATGGGACAGCCACAGCTTCTCTGTGCCAGGGCCTCTCCACCATCCCAGGAAGGATTTCTCCCCAATATCTCATGTAAATYGTTCCTATTTCAGTCAAAAGCCATTCTCCTTGCTCTGTCACTTAAGGCTGATGTAAAAATCCCCTCTCCATCACATCTGCCCCAGCTGTGGAGCTGGGACTCAGCTGCTGGGGCTGGGAGTGGGGTGTGGGCTCTGCACCCAGCCCTCCCAAACCCCTGCAGCGCTGTTTTCCAAACATTAACAACCCACAAACACACACAGAACCACGGTCAGACTGCTCCTCTGAAGCAGCTCACCCAGCCCCAGGACTAAATTTGGACCAACAAGCCTCGTGCATCAAATAATTAAGTCATGGGCTATAGAAAGCAATCCTCTGGGACTTTCTTGCCTTTGAGTGGCTCATCCCYTTCCAATCCAATCCATACCATGAAGTGCACGGCCATATGGCATCCKTTTATAGAATATTGCACTAGAGGCAAACAGGATGGAGTCGTACCCCTTGGAGCACCGCTCCCACCTCATTAATTTTGGGGACACGTTACAGGAGCTGCTCCGGCCCCGCTGCCTTCAAGGACACCCTGTGCTGCCGAACCTTTGTCTTAAATGAATTGTGCTGGGAAAATTAGAATCTAAATGTGGCCGTGCCCTAAAGCAAACAGCACTGTTTTGCCTCTCTGTAATTCGATTTATTTTTTTTTTTGCGGATCGATGTTTGGAGGCAGGCGTGTTCTTTTTGTCCTCAGCTCCCATTCCAGTGGCTGTGCTGGGCTGTGTGGGGTTTGGCATGGGGTGGTGTTGGTGTGCCAGGGTGCCAGAGTGGGTTTYAGTGTTTYCCTGCCATGTSCWGTGCTCTGYCTGGAATCTCTCCCCAAAACCAGGYGCTTTGGCTGGGATAAASTCTGTGARCACCTGCAGAGGTTTCAGAGAGGAACCATCTGGTGCTTGGGGCCACCAGAGCAGCTCCTAGGACAGAGGACACAAAGCCTGCTGCTGGGACAATAAACCACACCACAAAGCCATGTGGTCCAGCCAAGGATTTCTGTTCCTTTTTCCACCCTGAAGCCCTGGAGGAGCTGGGCAGGAGCGGCTCCAGCTCAAAGCCAAGCCTGGTCAGCATCAGTGATTGCAGCATCCCTGGGCCCAGCTCTAACCCTGCAACAACAGGGTTCTGCCCCTAAATGGGTTCACACTGCAGAAATGCACTAATGAAACAGGAACAGCTGCAGGTGCCTCCCTGTTTTTGGGCTGAACAGGTTTCTGCTGCACATCGAGGATCAATACCGCTGCCAATTACACTGCGGGTCTCCAGCCCCGCTTTTTGAGCTTCTTGGAGTGAAAACCACTGCTAAATAACGAAGTTCTCCACAAACCTGGCAGTCCAGAGTGCTGGAATCACAGAGTGCAGCAGAGGAAGGARTCCTCAGAGAGCTGTCCCCATTCTGCATCCAGCCAGGGCTTYGCTGAGAGCGGCAGCGCTGACACGGGGCAGCCTCTCAGCCCTGGAACCCTTCACGAGGAGGATTGCTCGGTGCTTGTGGTTTAATCCAGCTCACACAAACCACATTRCACTGGTTTGTTTGATTTTTTTTYTTTYTTTCTTCCCTTCCCCTCCTCCTGTTGAAGAGCCCAGCAGGGAACTGCTGCAAAGGCCGGGAGGTTGAACTCCATCTGTGCAGTTTGCAGCAGACACYGAGTGCTGATATTCAATTTCCTGACCCTGGTGATCCGTGCTCCTTCCCAGGGCCCTAAAACATCCATCTGCTGGGTCCAAAGGCTGAGCCTCATTAGGCCACTTGGCTGAAAAAATTGTCATTCCTGGTGGTGCTGAATATGGTCACTTCTGTGGGGGAAGAGGAAATGAGGGTCTGGTGCCACCCCAGTGAGCTCCCTGCAGCTGGCACAGGGASCAGTGCCCCAGCTGCCCTCGAGATTCAGCTCAAAGGGCTCCCTGGAGGGGTAGGAAAGGTGCTGTCCCTTCATCTGGAGTGGGAATTGCTAAATGTTGTTCTTCTGGGGGTGCAGGGGAGAGATGGGACCCCAAATCTCATACCACATAGAGATAGGACCCCAAATCTCACACCAGATAGAGATGGGACCTCAAATCTCTTACCAGGGAGAGATAAGACCCTAAATCTCTCACCAGGCGGAAATGGGACCTCACATCTCACAGCAAAGAGAGATGAGACCCCACAATTCACACCAGAGGGACATGAGATCCCAGACCTCACAGAGAGAGAGATGGGACCCTGAATCTCACACCAGGGAGAGATTGGACCCCAAATTTTACACCAGGGAGAGATGAGACCCCAAATCTCACACCAGAGTGGGATGAACACCCTGCAACCCTGTGAAGGCCCTGCTTTGGTACATCAGGAGGGCTGATAGTGCTGGGTGCCCTGACCCCAGCAGTGACAGCCACTCTTTAAAATGAATTAAATGAAGGAGATTTTTACCTGCATAGGCCCGTAGCAAACTCAGGATTGGGAGAACTCCAAGCTTCCAAGAAGGAATGGGATCCAGTTGCACTCAGCAGTCCCAAGCAGGGTCTCCAGCTCCAGGGAAGGTGACAGATGATGAGGTTTCCTCCTGTTGTGGCACCAACACCAGACACCATCAGTCCCTGTGGGGTGGCCGGACCTCTGCCCACAGCAGGACCAGCCACAGGATTGTAGCAGCACCTCTCCAGAAGGAAATGAGAAGGGAATCCCTACAGAGCAGACAGCCCCCGGCCCCAGGAAATATTCCCTGGAACAAAACTCAGGATGGTTGCTCAGCATTCATCCAGAAAAACCAAACCCCACAAAAATTCCTGTTCGCCCTCCCCTGCGCTCGCTCGCTCACACAGAGAAGACAACAAAGAAAGCAGGGAAGTCTCCTAATAGTTTTATTGTTCCTTAGATAACTGTGGATAGTACAAAGTTTTCCTCTTAAAAAAAAAAAAATTAATTACCTTCACACTTCCATAAACAAAGCTTCCCGTGGGAATCTGCCGCCACAGAATCTCCACGGAAGCGATTTCCAACCACCATAATGCTATGTAGATAGTATAACAGTAAGAGAATATCCTTGTAATCATCAACATGAAATTGGTTACCTGTGTATAAGGGTGAACACTGATCCCTTTTTTTATTTTATTGTATTTTTTTTTTGCCTTTTTAGAAACGGAAAAAAAAAAACCCCAAACCCCATCGTTTATTAAATCCAAACTACATCATCGCATTTACAACATTCATTGCATAAACTGGACATACAAAGTTTCGCCACCTCTGGTAAATAACAGACATACATTATACAATATAGTTGCTGAATACATAAGTTCAAACAATATGGGTACAACAACTTTGTTCATAATACATACTTTAAACCATCGTGTTTAATAAGTTACTAAGACACAGATCCATGAGCTACTTCGGGTCTCAGCACAGTTAATCTAAGTGACAAGAACACGGTTGAGAGAGAGAGAGAGAGAGAAAGAGAGACAGTAGCTGCGATGGAAGGCGAAGGGAACTAACCTGTGCTAGGTCTGGAGACAGCCAGAGCTCCTGACGGGTCGGCTTTTTTTTTTGGGAACGCGCCTCCCGCATCCATCACAGCTGCCCGCCGCRCCGGGGGAATGTCCATGCAACCCACACACGGAGGGGAGCCAGGCTCCCCAGGAGGAGGAACTTCCAACAGTCATTGCCTTGCTGCTTGAGGATGTACTCTAGGTTTGCTATCGGAACGGAAATGAAATAAAACCCCGAACTGAAGTGGTTCTTGGGAGTGCAGTTCCAGCTGCAAGTACATGGTTGCTCGTGAGTCTATAACACAGGGCCAGACTTCTAGAAATGTAGAGGTAATGCTGATCTGTCAGGTTTATGCTGAATAATCCTCCATGATGTTGGTCTTAATTTTGGCAGCTGTTTATATATTTACTTATTTAAAGTATGTTTCCTTATTAGCGTTTTTTTTAATTAGTTTCTCCCTTTTTTCCCTTTTAAATTTATTTTTTTTT